AGCGGTGAGGGTCCTGGTGCCGGTGGCGCGGGTTGGGCGCTCTGTCCCTTGCGCACGTCTGCGTAGCCGTGGTGTCAGTCATCTAAAAAACTGGATCCTGCTCCTGATTTTCTTCCCGTGGTCACGGTAAGGAACTTGATCTCACCCGAGCAGGGCAATTAAACCTCCGCTGAAACATCAGCCGGGCAACAGATATAGGATTACTCGCTGCAGAAACAAGCACCGCCACGTTGCAGCTCAATGAAGCTGTTACTTGCAACCCTTTCAGGACCTTGTCGCAGCAAAATATATTTTTTGGACTTGATTTCTAACCGTACACATTAACTTCTGGAGCTTCAAAATACAATGAGATGTGCTTTGAAATGCCTGCTATTCACTTGTGGATCTCGGAGCATGAGGGAAAATGGGAAACGTGCCTGACTGCTGCAGAGAGGCCTTGGAGACCATTCCCTGAAACCACGAGGATGCCTGGCTGCTTTAAACAGACTTTATTTGCCTTGGCTTCTCTCGTCAGTTTTGTGTCTTTCATCCTGATTGCTGTTGCAATGGGCACCCCGAGGTGGATGACTGGCAAGACCCTTTGCAAAACGGGAGCCGATTTGGTCAATGCCACAGATCCAGAGCTGGTCAAGTTCATTGGAGAAATTCACTATGGGCTCTTCCGGGGCGGCAAAATCCGCCAGTGTGGGTTGGGCGGGCGCCGCTCCACGTTCACGGGTAAGTGCAGTTGTGGTTGAATCTTTTAGCTTAGTTCAACTTTAAAAGCACTCTATGCTTTTTGTTTACGGAACTTAGAGAATGCATATCATTATCATTAAATTAGTATTTGTGGCTGACGTGTGGTCTTTATGGTTTGGGATCTGAGCGTGAATGTAAAATCTCTGTCACTTCAGGCTAGCTTTTTTCTTCCAGTTATGTTCCATAATCCTGGAATCACGACAGGAAAAAAGTCCCTAGGGCTAGATTGAGGGTTTCCCTTTAGTGTTGAGAAGGGGGTAAAAGTAATTTGGAGATGACCCTGTAAGTCGTACTTTCCCCTTGACTGACTCTGTCCTATGCCAAGTGTTGCTCTGCAATCTCTCTGGGCCTGTGTCCTTGCCTGCTTTGTCAAACTTTTCCATTTTTTTTCTCCTTTAAGAAGTAGAGATTTATTCAGCTGGCCACATTTCTGTAATTCTCTAGATGTCCTAACACAGATGTCTGCCATAGCAGATACTCTTAACTTTCTTAACACGTCGAAGAATTTTTTACCGTCTTTTCTGGTAACTTTGGAGAGAAAAAATTGCTGAACTCTTAAAAAATGCAGAAACTCTTATAAATGTATTCCTTTCAACTTAAGCGATTTTCTTGAGGTCTCAAAAGCACTCAGATGCTGATCTGTCCTTTGGATTTCCAGTTTTCACACATGCTGTGCTGCAGTGAAAATGATATTTTGCACTGAAGATTTCCAGTTCAGTGTCCAGATCCACTGCAACTTAACCAATATGAGTTGAAGCTGCCATGGTCTCACCCTCCCCCTGGCCCGCAGCAACGCTGTCCTGCCCCATCCTTCGCAACAGCTCTGGTAGTTGTTGTGATGAGGTAGTTAAGGAAGTTAAGGTGGCCAGAAAATTAACCTACAAAAAAATATAAACGAGTTTCCCACAGGATCGTGGCTGACTACACAACTGCACAAGCACCGCTAGAAAAACTCAAAGGAAGGCAGCACTGTGGGACTTCCAAGGGAATAGAGAAGAGAACCAGAGCAACCTCAGCTTATATCAGCGCGACCAGTTGTTAAACTGTGATGAATTTGGACTTGTTGCTTTTACAACAACCAGGTCTTGCTCAAGCTCTGACTGCAGCTGCAACTTCACGGACACAGCAGTCATGCTCAAGTGCTTTGTCTAGTGGCTGGCAGACAGGCCATCAGGTCAAAGCTCTTCCAGCTCTGCTCTGCTCCTCTTCAGGGCATTCAGAAATACTGTCCCAGTTCTTTCACACTATCCCGTCAGAGAGAATGAGGAAGAAAGGAGCCAATCTCCTTTAAATCTCCGTACAACTTTCTGGACTCTTTTATAAACTTCCTAATGACTGTAACCTGAGAGGAAGGCCTAATGTTCCACCATCACTCTGGACTGCATCGATGCCTATTTGGGGGACCTGATCCTATGCTCCTTGGACAAACAAAGCTCTCACTGAAGCTGGTAGGAGTTCTCCCTGTTAGAACAGTAAAATTGGGTCATTAAGTGCAGTGGGCACAACCATGCGTTTAGGTAAACAAGTGTCCCAGAGATTTTCCCCTTTACATATTTTAATAGCTCTGTTGGGTTTAATACTTTCACAATATTGGTTTCAGAAAGGTACCACGATAGTATACAAAACTATTAAATACTTTTGCACAATGGTCAGAAGCACTTCTGGCGATTCTGGGTCCGACTTGACTTTTTTTGCTTTGAATGTCCCCCTTAATCTCCAAGCATTCTGAACTGACTGGGGAGCAAGACATGGGAGACTTTTCTTGGGGAATGTGTTAGCATAAACAGACTGCACAGGCAGCACAGAGCAAGAGAGAACGCTGGCACCTCACACTCCGCAGTACTGCAGTAGCTCTGACACTTTGGAGTTGCCAGTCGCAGTAATACGTGGTTATTAGAACACCGCCTTTCACTGTGCTAACATCCACTGGAGCAGGCTTACAGCTGGCACCCTCCCGTTCGCTGGGACAGCAACGGCGCGATTCCATTGCCGTAACAGGCGTGCGGTGCTAGTTTAGACTCCTCAAGGTGCATCGTGTGGCCTCCAGCTGCCGCTTCTGGAGGTGCCCCATACGTAGTGTGGCATGTATGTTCGACCCACACGGTTGTCAGGGTAGTCCTAAGGCATCTAAAGTGGTGCAAGATGGTTATGTTCCGACAACCACGTCAAGCCCCAAGAACGAGCTGGGGAAGCCAGGCATTTTCCCTGCACATAGCAAACACAGCTGGAACGTGTCAGGAGCCTCCATGGCAACATCCTTCCTGAGGATTCTTATTTCTGCGCACTAAGCCAGGCTCACTGGTCGTGTCTTTGGGACTTGGCTGAGAGTCTTGGAAAAAAGGCAAGAGAATCCTTACAACCATTCTAAAAACTCTGCTGGTTTGTAAGAGGGCTAAATTCCATGTGCCTTGTTGTTACACTGCCAGTTATTTTCCAGTAAGAAAGCAAGCCAGTTTCCAGCTTCCCATTTCTTACACATACTTCTGATTCTCATTTACTTCCCTCCTTTCTTCTTGTTGTCAGAGTCTCTTCTGTAGCTCCCATGTACACCAGGCCCAACTATAATGCCAGAATGAGCTACTGAAAAGGTAGAACTGCGAATCATGAATTTTTTGTATGGAATTTGTATGGTATGAGGTTTTCTACATAATCTACTAGAATCCTGTCATGTCACGATGACCGAATTGTACGCTTCATATTCTCTCTGACATCTACCAATTATTGCTGCCTACTTTTTATGTGGCTTGTTTGGATTTTTTTCCAGTTACGCAGCATAGGAAGCAATCTATTTATTTGTTTATAATATAATGTACCTTCTTTTTAGTAACTTTTTAGTAATTAGGCAGTTAGTTCTTCAAAACATGTACGAGTGCGCAGTGCTATGCTACCTGAAGGGCTTTCCTTGATCAGCTTGTATTTTAGGGTTCTTCTGGATCAGCTTCTCTCTTCCCTGTCACTCAGCATGTCACCTACAATTCCCTACTCACATTTCTGCTGATTCTGTTACTGAAGAGCTGCAGGATAAACCGAGTACTCGGGTGCTCCACACTTCCCTGCTGCTGGCCCATCTGGCCCTCCAATGAAGTAACTCCATCTGTGAAGACAAAACCAAGAAAGTTACCGGTCTTTATACAGGCAAGCAGCTGGCTGCTGAGGAAGAGCTCGTGCCTGTAGCAAGAGCTATGAGCGCTTCACCGAAAGCCACCCACCTGCAATGGTGCACAAGCTTCCTACAGCTGTAACTAAACCACTGCCAGATACCCAGAAGAGTATAAAGGGGCCATAACCGCTAGAAGAGAAACCAAGAAGGGAATCTGAAAGGGGAAGCCTGTGGGATGGGGAAGTATGAAATCAGAGCAGATCTCACTGGAGATGGCATTAAAGAGAGAAGGAAGACTAACGTGAGAAAATACAGAAAGGAGCGATACTGTCTTACGCAGCAAGGGGCTGCACAAGGAAACTGGGACTATCAGACTTCAAAGGGATGAGACTAAAAGAATGGGACAGGAATGGGAAGCTCAAAAAAAGGAGTTTGGGAATGGAGAGCAGAGGTGATAGAGACAGAAAAGAATGCAGCAGGTGATACAGCAGCATAGGTGAAGACATTAACACAACTACATAAGTAAAACAGGACTTAAGCCTGAGTCTTTATTCACAGACCTTGCCTAACTAGGATTATTCCTGTAGTAGAATATCCCAGGTTTGTCTGACGTAGCACCATGAACTAAGGTGCGTGTAACTACCTGAATTGATCACCTCTGTGAAAAAAATAGTGTTGTTGAAGTGTAATGTAAGTTTGTAGCACCAGCACAGTGTGATGTTTACTGTTGTCAAGAAAAGATACACACTGACTAGATGACTTTTTTCTTGACAGTTTTCCCACACATGGTGAAAAAGCTGAATACAGGCCTGCACGTAATGATTATCATGTTCCTCTGTGTGGCCATTTCCTTTTCTCTGGTCAGTTTTGGATTCTGCATTCTTAACGCAATAAAAGTTCCTTACCGGGCTATTAAAGGTCCAGCAGGAGTATGCCTTTGGAACTTCCTTGCAGGTAACATCATTTACCAGTATTTTTCACCAGTCATATTCATACCAAATGTTAAAAGTTCCTTCTCGTGCCTTTTTAAGTATCTCCTCGACTGAAATACCCGTGAATAAAATGAAGTTAGCAAGCAGTGAATTCTCGTCCACCAAACCCGAACTGTCAGGTGGCGTCTCGGCTTACTGTGTCTTGTCAGCTTTGTACAGGAGCTATGAATGCCAGCCTTTAGGCTCTGTATCACTGATAAAAGGGCTTTATTACAAACACTGGTATGATGTTTGGCCATACCATAGAGACTAAGCATTTTGAAGGTGTTTAAGCCGTGCCTAAGCCTATCCCTACTCTGTGTAATGCTCACTGTTGTGTTCAATAAGCCTTCTTTCTGAAGCACAGCCAAAACGTCTGTCTTGTTTTGACAACAACGGTGAATGCTTCTTTCATTTTGTTGCAGGTGGATTTATAGTACTTGCAGTCACCAGCTTTATGGCTGCTGTGAAACTTCATCACCTCACAGAAAGAATTGCCAATTTTCGGGAAAATGTCTTTCAATTCGTTATCTTAGAAGAACGGTTTGAAGACTGTTTTTGGCTTTGTGTGGCAAGTGCCACAGCACATGCAGTAAATTTGCTTCTAATAGCTATTAGTGTGATTCATTTCCCTAAAATTAAGACTAAAACAGAAGAAGTAAATGTTACAGCAGATGATATCATGTACTAGTAAATCTACACAAAATTACTTCGGTGAAGTGAACTGTCATGATAGAAACAGCTCCTTGGCTCTTCGGCTTTTGATTTGGATGGATGATGTCAGTATAAACATAAGTAAATGTGTGAGTCTACAAAACCAGCAATTAACACGTGTGGGAAAGTGGGAAAACCAAATGCTACAAATATCATTATTCTCAAAACGGACCAGTAACTGCAGTGAATATATGCTGTGCACAGTTTTTAGAAAATTAGCATTTTGAGAAATTTTAGAAAACTAAGGCGAAGTATGATCTCATCAAAACCAAGTGTCTTCTTTGTTCAGAAAGAAAATATGTTTGTCACAAATCTTTGATACTATAAGGTTATCTCAGAACAGAAAGAATGGATGTTTGCCAATTACCTTCACAGAATTACCTGGAAAATGTTGGGAGGGCCACATAAGATATGTTTGATGAGGTTACACTGTGCCGAAAACTTCATCATCTCTGAGGCTAAAGCTAAGGGGAAGCACAGGCTATGTGTGACATGCTTTTAAAACAGAAAGTATCAAACCCCACAAAGTAAAGAACTGAGAAAAGTCAAGTTTATAGGATGCTAGTAGACTATGAAAAAAAAATATTATCTGTAAGATGAAGGCAGAGGGGGGACCTTATTGCTCTCTACAACTAGCTGAAAGGAGGTTGTAGTGAGACAGGTGTTGGACTCTTCTCCCAAGTAACTAGCAACAAGACAAGAGACAATGGCCTCAAGTTGCATCAGGGAAGGTTTAGATCAGATATTAGGAAAAGTTTCTTTACTGAAAGAGTGGTCAGACATTGGAATAGACTGCCCAGGGAGGTGGTGGAGTCGTCATCCCTGAGGTGTTTAAAAAACATGTAGATGTGGCACTTCAGGACATGGCTTAGTAGGGATGGTGGTGTTGGGTGGATGGTTGGACTTGATGATCTTAGAGGTCTTTTCCAACCTATGATTCTGTGATTCTAAGGTTTCATTACAGCTTTTGGAGGTAAACAGAATTTAAGTAATAGTGCTTTTAGATAACCTGGAAAAATAATAATCTGACAGATTGTCTTCAGAACCCTGTCAATTCTTATGTCTATCTGAAATCAGGTAAAAATGATGTATGATGAAACAGTATTAAAATGAATAAAAACAGTTAAATGGATGGAAAAGTTACTTTGTTAGGAAGTACCATAATTTTGACAGGCATTCAGCCAGTCCTTGGGTCAGGAGCAATGAATATTTCAGAGAAAAGAATATGCCATTAAGCATATAATTTTTAGAATTTGACTACTGTAGTGAACACATACTAACCTTTTAGGAGTAGAACCTACAAAGAACTGAAGAATGACTTTGAATGAATGAAAGAAGTTATCATTTAAATTAAAGAAATTATTTTGCCGTCAGTTACTCTTCATCAGACCACTAGGTTGTGCAACTCCTCTTTGTGAAAAGCTCTTTGAAAAAATAGTAACTTTTTTTCAGGAAAGGAATTGAAAGTGTTTTAAGAACATGTCAGGATATATAAAAATTCCTTATTTTTTATTTGAAAATACTTCTTCACAAAAATATTATTGTAAGGGTCAAGTATTTTCAGAAGTGCTTAAAACCATATTTTATGTACACAGATTACTATTTTTAACACTGAAGTGTGCAGAACGCTCCTAGAATAAGCTGGTATTCCACATGTTTGCTGATTAGGCCACTTATTTAGTTATTTAAATAAGGAATTATAACTCAGCTTAAGCCTATGAGTTTAATATCTTTGGCCCAAATACTTATTTTCCATGCTGTCTTTACTTTGTTTTCATCTAGAGACCAATGAAAACAGATGTTTTACAGAGTAAATTCTACTTTGAATTGGAATTCTTATAAAATCAGTTTTGATGTTGTGAAACTTTATTCAAAGTACTTTTAATTTACACAGCAGACTCAAATCACTGTGTTCACTAAATGCTTCAGCAGTGGATGTGCAAGCTCTGTGTGAGGTAAGAAATTAAAATTACTTATGTCCTTTTCAGCACATAAGCAGTAAGACCAGCAGATATTTGGCAGGCAGTGGCCTAGTTTCAGAGGAAATGTTTTTCGCCAAACTCAACTACAGACGTGAGGAGCAGTGTTTTGTCACTGTGGCCTGTACCATCGCTGGTTTGGGCCCTCCAAGTTTAGCAGGATTATGAATGAAGCAGAAATTTGTGAGGGTGCTTCTGCAACAGGCCCTAATAGTCTGTCTTCTTCAAGACAGTGTTAGCCACTTTTTTTTTAGGAGCGCTGAAATTTTTTTTTAAAGTCCCATAAAAACTTCTGAGACAGCTGGAAAGTTTTGGTGAGTCTAGAGCACTGTTACAATTTTAGCGTAAAGGAGACTCGACAAGGCAGAAAAGGTGATACCTAGCCACTTGCCACACACTTAACTTCACTGTTCTTCGAATTTTCCTGGTGCTTTCACTCAGTCTCCACCCTGGGCCACAACTCCAGGAAGCCGGTGCGATACCCAGTATGTGGACAGGCAGCAAACCAACCCAGTCTACGAAGGTGCACAGTACTGTCCAGAAAACTGTCCACAGAGCCCTCTGTGGTACCACCACCTTCGCCTCCTGGAAAATTCTCAGTGGCTCTGAAACAGAAGACTTGAAACTGCAGTATAATTACACAAGTAGAAAATGAAATATTTGTCATTTGTAATTGTTCTATGAACATATAATTTAGAAGTAGTTGCTGTACAGAAAGAATTATGTTGTAACACCTAACTTAGTCTTTACTAAATATAATTCTCTTTAGAAAGTGAAAAGGAAGCAGATTTTAAAATCCTCCATGTAGAACAATTGCTTCAGAACTGCTTTTCAGTAGTACTAGTATGCATGTGTTACAACACATTTTTCATACTGCTAACGAACTGCTTAATGCCCCCCAAACTTCCCCCCAAACAAGTTACTGAGTAAGAGCCGTGGGACTACTTAGGTAAGGACAAGATTAAGGATTTGTTGGACTGGATTCCTAGGCAGGTCACAGTAACTCTGAAAGAACCGTTAGAGTACAATGTACAAATAAAGTTAAAGAGGGATAGCTGGGCTGATTAGCTTTTTAATTTCTTGATTTGAATCTATTCCACAATGACGCATACTGTGCAGTAACAGTCCAAAAGCCGATTTCTCACAGCAGATGTATGCAGTATTATTGTGGGATCTTGCAGCTGCGTGAGTTAAATGACTGAATAATATTATCACCCAATGACTGTTTTGTGACTTGTGAGAAATCAGTGTTTTCAGTTCGCTTTGGAGTGAACAGAAGTATTACCATGCATGAATTAAACAGAACAAAATGGATGTAAGGCTCAACTAACCTTTCAGCTGCCCAGGTTGTCTCAGTTTGAGTACTGCTAAGACGCACCAATGGGATAATGCATTGAATATTTGCCCTGGGAAATTTTGTCTGGGGAAAAAAAAGGCTAAATGCAATCACACATAGTGAAGCTGTACAATTACAAAGCACACCTTAAGGTTAACAATATTTAAGTCTATCCCTTAGACCTTTTCAGCTTTCCCTCGTACATCGTAAAATACTTCAGAAAATATGGAACTTGGTATAAGTGTGATCTACTTTATTTAGACATTTTCATTTTAGTTATACCTCATATAGTGTATCCGATCATATGCATGCTCAACATGTGGAAATGAAGACTTCTTTGGGGGTACTTTTAACTTTGGAAGATTTGCAATCCCCAGTGAGAAAATTTATGAGCAGTATCTGCCCAGAACTTTGACAAGATAATGGGTCAAATCCTATCTTTCCATAAAATTAAAGACAGCTTCATATACCCTGAATATACCCACTTAATTTGTACATGCAGAACTTGTAGAAGCTCCACACAGGACGCAGAGAAGCTATGGAGCCTTTCTTCAAAGAACGAAGAAGCCATTCATTGTATCTAAGAGCCTCTCCAAAATAAATGAAGCTAAAACCTAATTACCACTTTGATTCTTTAAATCATGTTATGATTTGATCTTAAGAAGCGGATGCGATTTCCCTCAGTCATTGTCTCCGAGCGCTGCTGTCCTTACTAAGACGTGTGATTTCTCTCCGTACCACTGCACGGAAGAAGCGGTTTGGTGGGCACTGCCATGCGCTGTTAGAGGAGAACAGGCCCAGCTGCCCTGCTGCATCGTGCTCTGCTGACGTCACCGCGCGAGTTCAGCTACAGGTGTATGGGAGAGCAACTCGTTGGTACACAGAGGGTCGTCAGGTGTCAGATCCTCACGTGTAAACGTGAATTACTGATCTATGTTTGATGTTTGGGGGGTGGGGGGGGGGAAGAAAGCAAAAAAAAACCGGGATCACTTGACACTACAACCCAGTGCGTGCCCAGTGCCGCTGGAACTCCAGCTCTTCACGCCAACGGTACAACAAACGTCAGCCAACACCAAACAGCTCCTCTCCACGCGGTGCTTTTGCAAGAGGAGCACAAACCTGCGTCTGACAGTTCACTGCTGAGCAGGTATTCTGGTGTTCTCACGGGTCTTTTATTTTCACTTACCGCAGTGGGTTGTTTAATCTCACTCTGGGACTGTTGCTGCTTCCTTTTAGGACCTCGCCGACTCTTCCTGGACAGACATGCTGATGTTACACAAGTCAACCGCCAGCCTACGGGGAAAACAATGTGAATTTGTTGTCTTTGCGTTGGCAATAAAGCTTGGACTATTTTTTCATAAACCACTTGCATTTTAATCTCCAATATGCAACTTAAACATTCCGTACCCGTACCGAGACGCCCCTA